TCATATTCTCTTGAGTGGAATTGCAGGATCATATGGTAATTCTGTTTTTAATTTTAGGAGGAACTGCCGTACTGTTTTCCATAGCGACTGCGCCATTTTACATTCCTACCAAACGGTGCACAAGGGTTTCAGTTTCTCGTCATACTTGCTAGTTATTGTTACGTTCTATTCTTCGTTTTAAGAGTAGCCATCGTAATAGATACCAGGTTTCCCTAATGATGAGTGATGTTGAGAATCTTTTTGTGTGCTTTTTAACCATTTGCATATATTCTCTGGAGAAATGTTCAGGTTTTTTGCCCATTTTTTAATTGGGTGGTTCATTTTGTGGAGTTGTGCAAGTTCTCTCAGTGTTACTCCTTTGTCAGATATGTGATGTGCCAATGTTCTACAGGTTGCTTTTTTACTCTGCTGATGTTTGTCATCTATTTTTGTTGACAGTACCCCCCACCTTTTCTTTTCTTTTTTTTTTTTTTTTTTTGCAATTTTATAGCTTTATTTGACATTCAGCAGTTAGTTTTTATCCATGTTCACTGTTCGTAATTTTTTGAAAGTAGTGACAGGGAGGTAGATGACCAAAGTATAGAGCTTGTTTGGAGAATCTTCGTCCTCATTACATTTTTTGGATTGCCAACTTGGATACAGTATGTGACATTCCTTATTCCTCTGGCTCAGATGGCTTCATCGTAGCCTGGTGCCAATGCGGGACATCTGGAGTTCGCATCTCCTTCATGGCAGATTTTTGGGTTTAGTGCCCTGGGGGCAGGCTTCTTGAAACCAGCTCCATGGGTGTGCTTGTGAATGTTTATGGTGTATTCACTGGTCATTACTTCATTGATGGCACAGTGGCCCATATTTTCAGGAGCCATTATGCCACGCCCAAGTTGGAAAGGATAGTAAATTTTGATGCACAAATCTAATGTCTCTTTTTCTTCCTTGCTTATGCCTTTCGTGCCATATCCAAGCAATCATTAACTCAGTGCTTTGGAGCTTTTGTTCTTTCTTTTCTTCTTAGAGTTATATAGTTTCAGGTTGTTAAGTCTTTAATCCACAGTTCAGGATTCTGATCAAGATCAAGACTAAAGAGTTGTTGAGTAAAGTTTTCTGTTCTTGCCAGCTGCCTTGCTTGCTGGCACACGGGTTATGGGTTAAAGTTCTAGAAATAAAAATGGCATTTAATAGTATAGTACTACCAGCTTACTTGGCAGTTTTCTCTTTCTGGTTCTCATTTTATTTTATAGTAGAGCCTTACAATGTCATGTTGTTTGTACTAGCTGGTTTTAAAAGAGCCAGAATAGTTTTTATTTTTATTTTTATGTTTTAAAATATATTTTAATAATTATGCTATTACAGTTGTCCCAGTAATTTCTTCTTGGTTCCCCTCCACCCAGCACCCTTCACTCCCTCAGGCATCTCCCCACCATTGGTCTCGTTCATGCATCACACATATAAGTCTCTGGCTATTCCCTTTCCTATACCCTACTTTACATCCCCATGGCTATTCTGTAATTGCTTATTGTAGTCTTCAGTCCCCTCACTTCTTCACCTATTCTCCCACAGTCCCTCCCTTCTGGCAACCATCAAAACGCTCTCCCTGTCTGTGATTCCCCTATCCATGATTCTGTCTCTGTTCTTTTTGTTTGCTTAGTTTGTTTTTTAGATTCATTTGTTGATAGATATGTATGTTTTGCCATTTTGTTGTTCATAGTTTTGATTTTTTTTAAGACTTTATTTATTTTTAGAGAGGGTAAGGGAGGGAGAAGAAGTAGGAGAGAAACATCAGTGTGTGGTTGCCTCTCACACGCCCCCAGAAAACCCAAGGGAACAGGGGTCCTGGCCCGAAACCCAGGCATGTGCCCTGACTGGGAATTCAACCAGCGACCCTTTGGTTTGCGGGCAGGCACTCAGTCCACTGAGCCACACCTGCCAGGGCTTTGTCTTTTTCCTAAATAATTCCCTTTAACATTTCATATAATGGTTTGGTGATGATGAACTTTTTTAGTTTTTTTCTTATCTGGGAAGCTCTTTATCTGCCCTTTGATTCTAAATTATAGCTTTTCTGAATAGAGCAATCTTGGCTGTGGTCCCTGCTTTTCATGACTCTGAATATGTCTTACCAGTCCTTTCCAGCCTGCAAAGTTTCTTTTGAGAAAAGAGCTGACATTTTTTAGAAATATATTTTATTGATTATACCATTACAGTTGTCCTATTTCCCATCCTTCATTCCCCTCCACTCTGCACACCCCTCCCCCACCATTCCCCCCCTTTAGTTCATGAATACCTGTCTCAAGTATTTTAGATTCTATATTTCCCATACTATTCTTGCCCTCCCCCCTATCTATTTTCTACCTACCATCTATGCTACTTATTTTCTGTACCTTCTCCCCCCATCTCCTCCTCCCACTCCCCTGTTGCTAACCTTCCATGTGATCTTCATTTCTATGGTTCCACTCCTGATCTGGCTGTCCTCTTAGTTTGCTTTTGTTTTAGGTGTGGTTGTTAATCACTGTGAGTTTGCTGTCCTTTCACTGTTCATAATTTTTAACTCCTTTTTCTTAGGTAAGTCCCTTTAACATTTCATATAATAAGGGCTTGGTGATGGTGAACTCCTCGAACTTGACCTTATCTCCGAAGCATTTTAGCTGCCCTTTCATTCTAAATGAAAGCTTTGCTGGATAGAGTAATCTTGAATATAGGTCCTTGACTTTCATGACTTGGAATACTTCTTTCCAGCCCCTTCTTGCCTGTAAGGTCTCTTTTGAGAAATCAGCTGACAGTCTTATAGGAACTCCTTTGTAGATAACAGTCTCCTTTTCTCTTGCTGCTTTGAAGAATCTCTCCTTATATTTAATCTTGGGTAATGTAATTGTTATGAGCCTTGGTTTGTGCTTCCTTAGATCCAGCTTCTTTGGGACTCTCTGAGCTTCCTGGACTTCCTGTGCTTCCTGGAAGTCGATTTCTTTTGCCAGATTTGGAAAGTTCTCCTTCATTATTTGTTCAAATAAGTTTTTGATTTTTTGCTCTTCCTCTTCTCTTTTGGTACCCCTACGATTTGGATGTTGGAATGTTTAAAGATGTCCTGGAGCTTCCTAAGCCTCTCCTTGTTTGTTTGAATTTTTGTTTCTTCATTCTTTTCTGGTTGAATGTTTCTTCCTTCTGCTCCACATTATTGATTTGAGTCCCAGTTTCCTTTCCTTCACTGTTGGTTCCCCGTACATTTTCCATTATTTCACTGAGCATAGCCTCCATTTTTTCATTTAATTTGTGACCAAATTCAACCAATTCTGTGAGCATCCTGATTACCAGTGTTTTGAACTGTGCATCTGATAAGTTGGCTATCTCTTTGTCGCTTAGTTGTGTTTTTTTCTGGAGCTTTGATCTGTTCTTTCATTTAGGCCTTTTTTTTTTTCTCTCTCTCGGCACATCTGAGCCACAAAAGGTTAAGTGCCTAAGGCAGATTCTGCTGAAAGTACTGATGCACTTGACTGACTGAAAATGTGTAGGGAAAAAAGCTGGAATTACTTGTCCCAGTGTAAAAAATCCACTGGTATCCACGCAACTGCGGTTCCTTAGAAGAAAGCACGTTCTTGCTGGAAGGCATCACAGCTCTTTTCTTTCCAAGTTTTCCATCTGCCACATTTCTTCCCTCCAGTAGTAGTTGAATTTTTTTCTTCCTTATGTTCCAAATCATTGATTTGATTCTCAGCTTCATCCACTTCACTGTTGATTTCCTGTACATTTTTCTTTATTTCACTTAGTATAACCATTATTTCTTCTTGTGGCTTTTTTATGCTGTTGAAGTACCCATTGAGTTCCTTAAGTACCCATTGAGTTCCTAATAATCAGTGTTTTGAACTGTGTCAGATAGTTTGTTCATCTCCATTTTGTTTAGTTCGTTTTATGGAGTTTTGTTCTGTTTTTTCATTTGGGCCTTCTTTCTTTTTCTCCTCAATTTGGCAGCTTCCCTATGTTTGTTTCTATGTATTGTGTAGATTTACTTTGACTCCCTGTCTTAGTAGTGTGGCCTAATGTAGAAAAAATTGCACGTCAGATTGGGTGGTGCAAAGCCTTATGTAATTGCTGGGGCAGAGCAACGCCAGTGAACTAGGGTTTTGGGAGTCTCAGATATGGTGGGGCTGCTCTGCAGCTGTGTTGTGGAAGGCTCAGTGGCCGCTGCCTGGACTCAGGAGTTTTGTCTGGAAGGAAGCTGTCCCCTAGCACTTGCCTAATGCCAGACAACTCAGTTTCTCCCTGCATGCTCTGGTGCCCTTCAGGCTGCTGCCTGGTGCTGCAGTCCACAGGGAGTGGTGAGTCTATGGAAGTCCTAGTCTCTTTGGTGGGCCCTTTAAACAGGAGATCCTGAGAATCCCACAGCTTCTTTCGTTGCCCAAAGCCCCACACTGTTTAACAGCCAGAAGTTATGGGGACTTACCTTCCTGGCACTGGAACCCTAGGCTGTGTGGTCTGGTGTGGGGCTGGGACCCTCACTCCCAACATACCCCTCCTAATTTTTGTCTACTACACATGGGTATGCGACCATCTCTTCCTCCTACTTGTTTGAACGAGCGTGAGTGACTTTTTAAATTCCTTGGTTGTCAAACCTCCATACAGCTCGATTTTTAACGATTCGGGGGATACTTATTTTGTAGTTTAGTTGTAATTTTTGCTATGGGTGTGTGAGTAGGTTAGCTGTTTTTACTTAGGCCTCCATCTTGACTGGTAGTCAGGGCCAGGATATATTTTAATGTAATCTGCCTAAGTTAAGCTGCTACATGTGACAAATAGTATACAAGCAGACAGTTTTTTTTCTATCCTCTTAAATCAGCAGCTGTGTAGGTAGTTGTGTCAGCAGGGACCAACAGATTGGGTATACTGGAGGGGATAATGGTGCTATTAGGAATAGTGACCATATTTTTTTTGAGTAGCTGCATATAGGATGGAGTTGGTCAAATTGTAATTGTGTAGGGCACGAGTATTATTTTACACTATAATTTGTTTTAAAGGATTTGGACGTGGCAGAGGGAGAGGGGCAGGAAGATTCTCAACCCAAGGCATGGGGTAAGTTTAGTCATCCTGTTTTTGTAGTTATTCCCTTCCCTAGTTGTTACTCTAAGGTTTTACTTGTTCTTTTCTGTACCAAATTTATTCTGGTGAGTCAGATATTTTCTACACTTAAGGAGAGAAGGTAGTGGAAAGGTAAAAATAGTGTAGATGACACCGTATTGCAATGGGCCTTACTCAGAGTTTTGAGCCCTGACTCTGTTGACATTTTGGATTGGATAATAGTTTGTTGAGGTGGTGTGGTGTCCTTTTCATTGTAGGATGTTCAGCAACATCCTGGCCTTTCCCTGCTAGATACTGGTAGCACCCCTTCTTAAGTTGTGACAATCAAAAATATCTCCAGACATTGCCACATCTTTCCTGGGAGGGAGGTGCACCATGACCCATAGCTGAAAACCACTGCATAAGAGTTATGTTTGTAAATCCAGCAATAGTCTTTGAGTGGTAAATAAATGCAATGCTTATTTATGTCAAAGTGATCGTTTTTCTTGAATTGTAATGGTGAATGGTGACCATACTATTATTAAATAAGTGGTATAATCAGTAGTTTATTCATTATTTCATACTGTTCTTTTCCTTTTTGGTACGTCTAAGACATTCGCTTTTCCTAGACATTTAGAAAAAAGTTTTCACGCATTTTACATACCTTGTGTGGATTACAGTCAAGAAAGGAAGGGAATTGGTTCCAGGAAAAGCCGTTGGTCTCCCCATATCCTTAGGACAGTACTGGTAGGGGTCCCTCCCCTTAGGGGGTACCTCCTGCCATCTGTTTTTTGCCAGAGCTCCCTGCAGATAAAGGGTGAAAACATTGGGAGCAAACTCTTAAAAATTTATGTTCCCCCCAAAAAAACATGTATGCCCAGCCCAGTAGTTTTAAACTGTTTTGTGGATTTTGCTGTTTACTTTCAAAAACATTATTTGCGATTTTTTAAAAAAGCAAATGATACATTAATTAAGCTGGAAAGAAAATTCTGTTGTGAAAATTTCAGAGGTAGTACTTAATTTGGCTCTAGTTAGACCTCTCTGCATCATGGGAATTGAGGATTTTAATGAGCCAAAGGAGAGGTATTGAACAAAACACTTTTGTTTCTTGTTCAAAACATTTATAGCTGTTGTTTCGATTTTTTTTAAAAAAAAAAGTCTCAGATACAACTGTTGTAAAAGGTTCAAAGCCAAACTTGGATTTTGACTTCAAAAGAAAAGACTAGTTGCAATTTAAGTCTGAATTTAGTTTTCAGGGGGGCTTTTCATAGAGCCCTCACGCTGCCTGCAGTGATTATGTAGCCACACTTGTTTTAGGATGCAGAGGACAGCAATTTAGGGAAATAAGGGTATCCTCTTGTGTAAGAGTGCATGGAAGGTCCCTAGGCAATTCTGCTTTTCAGAAGATTTGTATCCAAGTAGCCAGAAGAATTCAGCTATAATTCAATAGGAGAATAAAGGTGAAGTTTCTTATACTGGCTCTTAAAAGGGACAGGGCTTATTTTGGGAAGATGATGTACAGTTAATTTTGTGACTTTGGTGATTGCTTCATTTGCCTTTATTCTTTATTTCAAACCCCAGGACATTTAATCCTGCAGACTGTTCAGATTCTCCATCTATAGATGGGTGTGGGACAAAACCAGTAGTTTGGGAAGCTGCTCAGAATGGTGCAGATGAGGGAAGTGGTAAGTGCCTGTTCTTATCAGAGATGTGTTTTAAATGTTTGAGTTAACGTGCACACAAAGATGACATCAAAGTGTGCTGGTGGAGAATAATGAAAAACAGCCTGCTGTCCTGCCTTTGAGACTACTGGTAGCTTGTTCTTACACCTCCAAAGTCTCTCACTTACAAATCCCATTGATGATAAGGTATTGGATTTTTTTTTCCTTTCTATACTCTGAGGAAGAGGTTGTAATCAGTCTGTAAATCAGCACAAATTCACACTCAAATCTCGGTGTGTCAGGGATTTTTTATTTCATGAAAATTCATTTTCTGTCATTGTCGACGTTCAATATTATATTAGTTTCACATGTACAGCATAGTGGTTAGACATTTATATAACTAATGAAGTGACTTCTCTGATAAGTCTAGTTACCCCGTCAATGTGTCAGGGATTTATAGAATTTCTTAGGAAAACACTTCTTATGGAAAGTACTTAGCATTGTTAATAGTGGACACTAAAGTTTGGCCAGATAAAGTAGTAGATGATAGGTGGGTTTAAGGCAGCAGTTACTTTTGCAGGTTTTTCTGTGTCCTGCTATTTTTGGATTATTTCTTTTCTGAAATTCATGGGTAAATAATCATTAATTGGTCATGTTTATTTAATAGAGGTCTTTGGAAGATTTGTTCATGGTAATAACTCGTAATTGTATTGTTTAAGAAATAATTTGATACTTCCATATAACATCAACTCTGGTAAAAAAAAATAAGAGTGCATCACAGAAGCACAGTCAATGAACTGGAAATTGAAGATTGTGTAGAGATGATCAACAACAGTTATGTATGATGGTTTGAAAAGACTAGGTAAATTCATAAACATTGTTACACTGATCAAGGGAAGGAGAAGCAGCATAAATAATTGGTCAGAGGAATGAGAAAAGGAATATTGATATGAATTATATTATTTATTATAGCTATTAAAAGATCATAGACAGATACTTTATGGCAATACATTTTGTGCTAACATTTGAAATTAGTTTTCAACACAGATGTAAAGTTTTAGCCAAAATGCTAGAAAACAGATATCATAAAGATAGAAAAAGGATAATACACATCATAGCCATGTTAAATTTATACCTGATATTCAAATTTGTTTAACATTTAAAAAACAGTCAACTTCTAGATATTTATTCAGGATAATAGAAGAATAATGTTCACAGAAATATTCTCTATAGAAGCACAACTAATAATAGCTAAAAAGTGGAAACCAAATGTCTTTCAGTGGATAAGTAAAATGTCTATTGTCCATACAGTGGGATATTCATTCTGCCATAAAAAAAAGAATGAAGTGCTGATACATGCTGCAGCATGAATGAACCTTGAAAACATTATTCTGAGTGAAAGAAGCCAGTAGTAAAGAACCATATATTTTATATTTTATGACTTCATTTGTGTGAAATGTCCAGAGCAGGCAAATACATAGGAACAGAAAGTAGGTTGGTAGTTGCCATGAGCTTGGTGGAACCTTTGGGAAGAAATATGTTCAAGATAACTTTTTTTTCTTTAAGATTTTATTTATTTATTTTTTAGAGGGGGGAAGGGAGGGAGCAAGAATTCAAGAGAGAGAAACATCAATGTGTGATTGCCTCTCGCACACCCCTTACCAGGGACCTGGCCAGCAACCCAGGCATGTGCCCTGACTGGAAGTCAAACTGGCAACCCTTTGGTTCGTAGGCCGACACTTAACTCCCCTGAGCCACACCAGCCAAGGCAAGATTACTTTTTGAAATGATGAAAATATTCTGAAATATATCACTGTAATGGTTGTACAACTTGTGAATATAGTAAAAACTACTCAGTTGAATACTTTAAAAGGATGGATTTTATGCTGTGTAAGTTATATCTCAACAAAAATGAGTTTTATGTAATTCCTTTAACAGAATAAAGGAGAAAATTCACATTGTTTCAGTAAGGAAAGCATTCAACAAAACCATTATCCATCTTGTTTTTTTTAATCCTCACTTGAGAATAAATTTATTGATTTTAGAGAGAGAGGAAGGGACAGAGTGAGTGAAACATTGATGTGAGAGAGGAACATAAATTGGCTGCTTCCTGTATATGCCCCAACTGGGGATCAAACCTGCAACCTTTTGGTATATGAGATGACTGTCTAACTAACTTAGCCACTAGGCCAGGGCCGTTGTGATTTTTTTTAAAAGCCAGGCAAGTCTGGACTATAAGTAAACTCCCTTAACCAAATAAAGGCCATCTATAAAACTTACTGTAAACATTACAGTTAATGGTGCTATGTTGGGAATTTTTCTCCTGGAACAAGATAAAAGGGCTTACTCTCACTCTTTCTATTACTACTCTATCAGAGGTTTTAGCCATTGTAATAAGGAAAAAAGAAAACTCATGGGGTGGAAAGGAAGGAAAAAAACCCTGTCATTTCTAATGGTACAAAATAATCTATAGATAAACTATTAAAATTAAAATGAGTTTTAAAAGGTATTACATAGAAGCTCAGTAAACCATTTCTACAAACCATTAACAAAGAGAAAATGGAAAAAAATTTGGTAGCCTCAAAAAATACCAGATGTCTCCCTGGCCAATGTGGCTCAGTGGATTGAGCACCGGCCTGGGAACCAGAGAGTTGTGCTGGTTGGATTCCCAGGCAGGGCACACACCTGGGTTGCGGGCCACGTCTCCCGTAGGGGGCACATGAGAGGCAACCACACGTTGTTGTTTCTTTCCTTCTCTTTCTTCTTCCCATTCCCTCTGTCTAAAAATAAATAAGTAAAATCTTTTAAAAAATAAAGTTTACGTTAAAAAAAAACCCCAAATGTCTATGAAGAAGTCTAATGATATGCCAGATGATAAGACTTATAGCTATGAAAACATAAAATAAACTCATACTAAGATATAAAATCAAGATTCAATAAAATAATAAGTGAAAGGATATATAATTTATATATTTTAAGTCCTACTGTTATGAAGCTTAGTTTTTAGTGACTTGCTCTTTGAACTTATTTTTTTTAAGATTTTATTATTATTATTTTTAAAGATTTTATTTATTTATCTTTAGAGGGGGGAGGGAAGGAGAGAGGGAGAGAAATATCAATGTGTGGTTGCCTCTCATGCATTCCCTGCTGGGGACTGGCCTGCAACCCAGGCATGTGCCCTGACTGGGAATCTAACCGCGATCCTTTGGTTCGCAGGCCCGCTCTCAGTCCACTGAGCTATACCAGCCAGGGCTAGATTTTATTTTTTTTAGAGAGAGGGAAGGAAGAGGGGAGAGAAACATCAATGTGTGGTTGCCTTTTATGTGCCCCCCCAACTGGGGACATGGTGCGCAACCCAGACAGGTGCCCTGACTTGGAATTGAACCAGTGACCCTTTGGTTTGCCGGCTGGCATTCAGTCCACTGAGCCACACCAGCCAGGACACTCTTTGGATTTATTAATCTGTGGTAGTCCACCACATCAAAATCGTCCCTGTTGTTTTGTAAAGTGAGGTTTATTGTGATGTGTTTTATGTACAATAATTACCCTTTTAAAGAGGTATGCATGAATCCCAACAAGTACGTATAGTTGTGTGAACACCAGTAAAATCAAGATACAGTGTTTCTGTACAATGAACAATTGCAAGTTGGAATAAAAGAAAAAACGTCAGTACCATTTATAGTAGCACAAAAACATGAAGTATTAAAGTGTAAATCTGAAAGTACACGCAGAGTTTGTATGTTGGAAATTTGACAAAAATCAAAACAGACCTCAATAGAGGGGTGGATATTCAATGTTTATGAATTAGAAGATTCTGTTACTGAAATATTATTTCTCCCCAAATTGATGCATGGGTTTAGTACGCGTTCCATCAAAATCCAAGAAAATTGATTTTGTGTATAAATTGACAACTTGATTCCAAAATTTTTATAGAAAAGTACAGTAACTAGCATAGCCCAAGCAATTTTTTGTGGGGGGAAAAAACACCCAACAAAATTCAAAGACTCAATAGTCATTGATTTCAAGAACTTAGTCTGAAGCTATAGTGATCAAGACTTGGAATTGACGAAAGCATAGAGGGAGATTAATTATATAATTACAGGTGTAGAAATAAACCCACAGGTACATGGCTAATTGATTTTGGTCAAAGGTTCAAAGACAGTTCAGTGTCTTAGATTATACTGTATACAAAAATTAACTGGAAGTGGAAAATAGCTCTAAACGTGAAACCTAAAAGCACAACTTCTAAAGAAAATAGAGGAACAAACCTTAGTTACCTTGGATTAGGTAAAGACAAGCAAAAGTCATAAAAGAAAAACTCAATTCTTTAGAAGAGGATAAAGAAAACAAAAGGACAAAGCATAGTTTAGGAGGAAATATTTATAAAAATTTTTAAAAGATTTTTAAACCATATAAAATATATTCTTTTATATATATAAAAAGACATTTTAAATATATACAGAATATATAAAGAAGTCCCACAAGTCATTAATAAAAAAGCAAACAACCCCCCCCAAAAGAATAAATGAACATTAAAAATGAATAAAAAATGAAAAAATAATTTTTGTGGAAATGGGTTGTAGTACATTAAGTACTTTGCAAATGTCCTTAATCCCAGTGAATTCTGCATTTCAAAAGGATTAAAGTGGCCCTGACCTGTGTGGCTCATTTGGTTGGGTGTTGCCTCGCAAAGTGAAGGGTTTCTTTTCAATTCCAGTCAGGGCATATTCTTGGGTTGCAGGTTCAGTCCTTGGGCCAGTTGAGTATGAGAGGCAACTGATCACTGTTTCTCTCTCTTTTTCTCCCTCCCTCCCCTTCTATCTAAAAAGAAATAAAATGTTGAAAATAAATAAATAAATTGAAAGGGCTAACATAGTACATTTTGTGTAATTTGTATTTTGTCATAATAAAAAAATGCCATAGAACTTAACCAAAAATTTGGCATAGATGCTGTGTGTGTCTGTTATGTTATACTATAATTATGTGAGATATAATTATCCAGGATACTGGGTAAAAGGTAACTT